TGTGCCATCCTCCTGAGGAGGGGACGTGGTATCTCAGTGTTGTTTCAATTCACAAGCCAAGTGCGGCCCCTCATTTGTTTTTGTAAATAAAGGTTTATTAGCACTCAGCATCAAGGATCACTTTCTAGTCTGTGGCTGTTTTTCTCTTTAAAACATTTATTACATTGCCCTTTACACAAAGTTTTCCAGACCCCGAACTAAATAATTCACTGGATTACCAGCCGGGCTGAATGTCTTGCATGTTTACTTGGCCCTGTGCATTTGTTCTAGTGGGTTTGTTTCTCTCGGTTCTGCGGGAACTCCTATCCTGTGGGAAGAAGGCCTTCATCTACACTGACGCTGGAAACTTTGTACCCAGGTTGCCATTTGCCTCTCAACCTGGCAGTGGCCACACCTTCTCCGCAGCTGGGAAACAGACGCTGTGGGAAGTGGCTGAGGGTGGCGGGGAAGGGGGATCTTTCTGGCCCCCCTTCTTTTGTTCCCACCAGCTTTGAGTACATTTTGTAATACCCCTGCCATGTCATCCTTTCATTTCCTTGTTCTTGTCACCAAGAGAAGACATTACTAGAGCCCCAGTCACAGAACTTCTCCACTTTTACTTTACTATTTTTTTTTCAGGCCCAAGTTCAGGATTTGATGCCAGGAAGAGTGCTTCCCGAGGCCATGGCACCCTCCATACCCCTGATGGGTGGCCGACCAGGCTGAGGACCCTCACACATACCATTCACTGACAGTGCGCCTGAAGGGCTTCGTTAATTCAAGGCATTTGCCTATTTCTTCAGAAATGGCCAAGCATGGGCAAATAGGTAAATGGTATGTAAGGCAGGTGACAAGCCAATGGCCCACCGGCAAAATGGCCTGGTAAGTTAGCCTTGAGAATTATTTTATGTCATCATTACAGAGCACAGAACATGGTTTGGTGGATGCATGTGGTGGATGCACAGAATATGGTTTGGTGGATGCATCATCATCCATCCACAAACCACAACCCTTAAACCAAGTGTGGCCCCCCATTTGTTTTTATAAATAAAGGTTTATTAGCACTCAGCATCAAGGATCACTTTCTAGTCTGTGGCTGTTTTTCTCTTTAAAACATTTATTACATTGCCATTTACACAAAGTTTTCCAACCCCTAAACTAAATAATAAAAAGGATAATAATCAAGTTATACGTTTAGTATTTTTAGAAACATACAATAGAGAGACGAAAAGATTTTTAAAAAAAATGTGTGTAACCAACCGTATATGTGGTTGTAAGTTAAATGCATAAAACCTGCATTCCATTGGTTAATGTGGTCAAGAGCAGGACTTTGTGTCCAGATATTTTAATTTAAAAAAAAATCTGCTGCTGCTGAACTGAAAATCTAAGCACATCTCTTGCTCTCGGTTTTCTGACCTGTGAAATGGGGATGCTGATGGTGCTGACCTCACCGGACCCAGGTGAAGAAGGAAAGAAGGCTGTTAGTGCCTGCCACATACAGAGCCACACGATTATCTCCTCTTGTCACCACCGTTATTGCAGACAGGTTTCCATCAGTGTCACAGCTGTGCTACTTCCCAGGCATGTGATCTGGAGCCACAACTTCTTGTTCCTGGGCTCCAGCCCCAGCCCCGGCCCATAGTGGGGATCTTAGCATCTGGAACACAGGTGGCATCTGACACACGTGTCTGTCACCACCGTTGTCCCTGCCATCCTGACTTCCCTTCTGACCGGAAGTCCCAGCACTGCCTGCTGCTCGGTTCCTTCTCCCACAAGGCCGCTGTACGCTCTGTGGACTCTTTCCACCGAGCGGCTGTTTATTTAACTGTTCTTTGAAGTAACTCCCCGGCCATCAAAGCGCTGTTTACAAACCCCACAATTAGCCTTCTTGGAACAGCAAATAAACAGAAACTTAATTAGGCGTGTCCCTCCTGGCTCAAGGCACAGCAATCCCAGCGCGCCGTGCGGCAGCCAGCCGTCGTCCTGGCGGCAGACGCTGGCTGGACGGACGGATGGGCGCAAAGATGGACAGACGGATGTGTGGGTGAGTGGATGGAAAGGATGGAGGGGGTAGGTCGGAGGATGGAAGGAAGGCTGAGTGGACGGCAGGACAGACGGCATTTGGGTGGGTGAGTGGAGGGGTGGGTGACAGGGCAGGGGGCAGGGTGAGCGAGGCTAAGGGCTGAGCAGGCAGAGCGGGGCGCAGGTGGCAAGAGGCTGATGGATGGACAGAGTGAAGGAAGGAAGGGAAAGGTGGTGGAAGGATGGCTGGCTAGAGGCTGGGTGTGGATGAGAGGGCGCGCGGATGAATGAGTGGATGAAGGGGTATGGGCCGGCGAAAGGCCGCAGCGGGAGGAGGACAGGAACTGAAGCTCCAGGCCTTCCCGGTGTCTGGGTTCCCTGTTCCTGGCTGAGATGCTAGGTAACCATCACCAGAAGGGACTCTGGCCTGGTGGTGTCAGAACGAAGCTGGGTTTGAATCCAACCTCTGCCACGTTCCAGCGCACTGGCCTGGATCTCGTCCTGCGACTCTGAGCCTGAGACCCCTCCCGTATAAAACGCTGTCCCCCGGGCTCCAGCTCATGCTGGAAAGGCTGCAGCGTGGCTCTGTGTCACCCCCACCCCCACCCCAGAGACTGCCTGGGCCCAGGGCCAGCATCAGCGGTCACTCGATGGTAGACGTCACCCCGACGCCTGGTTCTGAGAGCTGCCTCCGTGGAGGGACTGGCCAGGCCCTGCCCCGGGGTTTGCCCCGAAGAGAGGCGCCGGCTCTGCCCAGACAGCCCCACGAGCAGCCACGGGGCAGGGCGCTGGGACACTCCTCAATCTGCAGCTCAGAATGACAGCTGACGTCCCAGCACGCCTGGATCCAAATCCCTGCTCCATCTGACTAGCCTTGGCGTGGGGCTCTTTGCTCAGGCCTTGGGGACCAAAGGTCCTGCCTTAACGGGACCGCTGTGGGGACTGAAGGGTTAATGCAGCCAAGCGCCGGTGCCGCCCTTGGCGAGCCCACTGCCTGCTACGACTGCATGAGGGCCGCTGTCCTTGCCGTTACTGCTCCTGTCACCTCTCCTGCCCTGTCCCCCCGCCTCTCTGGCAGGACATGGAAGAGCGGCTTCCAGAGGCAAAAGAAGGCAGAGCCTGGGCCAAGTGCCCTGGGAGCAGAGCGAGGTGGCCTTGGTGGTGGAGGCCAGGTGGGGCCCGTGAGTCAGGTCTGGCCAGGCACGCAAAGCCACGGGGCTGCTTCCCACCAAGGGGCGGGGCAGGGGCCTGAGTCAGCGAGTCAGGTGAGGGGCTGTGGAGGACGTGCGCCTTCCCACCTGCAGCCTGGATGCCTCCCACGGCAGGGATGGGCAGAGGCCTCTTCGAGAGGCACAGCAACAGCACCGCCTGTCCTGGGGGCGGTGACCCCAGCCCTAATCCAGAGGGAGGCCTGGGAGTGTCTCTCCTTCCTGAGTCTTGAGGCTGGGCCCAGACCAAGAGCACTGGAGTCCAGCAGAATGTAGGAGGCCAGGGAAAGCTTCCCTAAGCAGTCAGAGGCCTGCAGGAGGGGAAGGAGGAGAGGCGGGGGTGGTTCTGCGGATGAATGTTCTGAGCAATGAGAACAGCAAGTGCAAAGGCCCGGGGGTGGAGGCCTGAGTGTGCGAGCAACAGGAGGAAGTCTGTCTGCAGGAGAGAGGGAGAACAGGGGAGATGAGGGCAGAGAGGGATTGGGGCAGGTTGTGCCATGCCTGTGGGTATGGGGAAGACTTTGGCTTCTACTCTGAGCAAGGCAGGAGGGCCCTGGGAAGCTTCTGAGCAGAGGACAGACAGACTCTGACTCATGTTCTCACGGATCCCTCTGGCTGCACGTGAGATCCAGCTTGGGGCAGGGCGGGGGGTACAGGAAGGAAGCCCAGAAGCCAGGAAGGAGGTGCCTGCCATGGCCCAGGTGAGCCATGGGGTGGGAGTGAAGAACGGGGGTCCTAGGAGCTCCTCTGGGTGCCAGTCAACATGTCCTTCCTGGGGACCTACTGTGTGCGCACCCTGCGCAGGGGCTATGAAGACTGCGCCCTATAATCTAAGGCAGGAGGGAAATGTATCAGCTCTGGTGGGAGCAGTGCTGGGCCAGAAGTGTGGCCCAAGGGCACCTACTTCCCTCCAGGCCCTGAACACACCTTCTTAGGTAGCTCCTCAACCCTGGGAGGCAAGAGCTGCACCAGCCCCATTTTACAGGGGAGGAAACTGAGGCTCCTTAGGGAGGTAAATCAAGGCATGCAAAGTGGGGCAACTCCTCACTGCCGGCTGGAGGCGGGGGCTGAGGACAGCTTCATCCCAGAGGGCCCCCTGGAGGCCAAGGCAGGCTGGGTCCCTGGGCTACACCAGTGCCACCAGTGTGCAGAGGGCGTCCGGTCGAGTGGCTCCAGCCCCTTAGCCAGTGCCTTCCAGAGCTGCCCACGAGCTCATCTGTAAAGCCACTTGTGCTTGTTCTTAAGCAAACTGACTTTTTGTTGTTTGGTTTTTAAATAATAATTTATTGAGGTGAAATTCGCGTTGCACCCAATAACCATTTTAAAGTGAGCAAGTCCATGGCCTTTTAATGTTTCCTGTGTAACCACCACCTCCACTATTTCCAAAAGGGGACCCTGCGCCCACTAAGCAGTCATTCCCCACCCCACACCCAGCCCTTGGAGGCCACCAACCTTCACCCCGTCCCTGCTGTTACATCTATTCTGCAGACTTCTTAGGCATGGCTCATGCAGTATGTGACCCTTTGGACCTAGCTTCTCTCAGCATAATGTTTTGAAGCTCCCTGCTGTAGCATGAGTTAATACATTAGTTTTGTGTTTATTTGAGACAGAGTCTCACTATATAGCCAGGTTGGCCTCCAACTCGTGGTGATCCTCCTGCCTCAGCCTCCCAAGCGCTGGGATTATAGGTGTGCACCACCACACCCAGCTAATGCATTGACTTGTAAAGGACTTTGTATTACTGCCGGAAAGAGAAAACCATGTATTCATTTCTATAAATGGAAAATAGCCTTAACAACAATGATCACAGAAGAATTGTATTAAATATGAGCTGGGCTCTGTTCTGTGCAGAAGGCTCTAAGCTTGAGGTCTGCCCTACCTCACCTCGAGAGAAGGACAGGAGAAGGTCAGAGCCCAGGCAGCCTGGGGACGCGCTCTTTGGGGCTAACCAGAAGAGCCCAAGGAGGCCCAAGAAGGGATGGAGGTAATGTTCTCTAACGCACACTGGAGGCGTCCGATCTTCCAGGGCAGACACGGTGAGCAGGAGCTTGCAGAGTTGTCTCCAGGAGTCGAGGCGGGTGGACTTAGGGAGGAGTCGTGCACATCCAGACAGCTGGGACATATCCCCACCCCCGCTCCTGTGTGATGCAGAGAACCCCCGCTGACTGACGCCCCCATGCCAAGCCCTTCCCGGTTGGTAGCAGAGGTGGGCCCCATGGCGCCCGGGACGCCTTCTGGACTCAGCTTCCCTAGTGTACCTGTGTCCCTTTCTCTGCCAATACGACTGTTTTATTTCCTGTACCTTTGTCACATACGTTAGTGCCTGGATGAACGAATCCATCCTCTTCCATCTTTCTCGGTGCTGTCCTGGCCATTTTCCCACATGTTCACCTTAGTGTGACCTGGGGACACCACGTTGGAGCAGAGGGCAGAGGCAGAGCCGGCCGGGGAGCCAGGAGTGCTGCAGGCTATGGCTGCGGGCGAGGGTCCACGGTGCTGCTGGGTCAGGAAGGAGGACTTGAAGGCTCCCGACCCCCCTTAAAATCGGGCACCATTTGCCACATTCACCTTTCCCCTCTACACTGCGACTGCCTCCTTCTGCAGATCAGCTCACTTTTCAAATCTCCTGCTAAGCCAAGTTTTAACCAAAAGCACAGTGACCGGGCAGCACTTGTGGGGGCCCTGCCCTGGCCCCTCGCTCTTCAGCCGCGTGCTCCGCCCCTCCTCACCTGGGTGTTCCGAGCACCTGTGCGGGCCAGGGCAGAGCCCTCTGGTCGGGCATGGCGCCAGGAACGGCAGCTGGCGTGCGCGGTGCTGGGCTCCCTGTCCTGCAGTGCTCCCCGCTGGCTCCCGCAGGACCCAGCCATGGAGCCTCCCTTCGGTCCACGCGGGGGAACCCAGAGGGAGCCGGCAAGGGGCAGTTCTTGGGCAAGACACAGGCCTGGCGGGACCCAGGAGGGCAGCACTGGGCATCACGCTGGGCACCGGGGCCAGAAGGAGCTGAGGGAGCCCGTGGTCCTGGGCCGGAGCAGCCCACGCACCCGAAGGGAGAGCTCCTGCGCTCATTCATTCATTCTTCATTCACTCATTCCATAAATGCTGACTGAGCGCTGGGTACCGTGTTGCGACCTGTGCCCGGCCTTGGAAGGACTGAGAGAGCGAGAGACCAAATCCCTCGTGGAGGTGACAGTAGCTGAGGACACAGACAAAAACAAATGAACACACACGTGAACTCCAAAACGAGGGCGCTCCCAGCTGCCAAGGCAGTAAACAGCGATGAGCTAAAAGCCAGGCGAAGGGGCGGGGCTCGGAGAGGGCCGCGGGGAGGGCCCTGGGGGGCGCCGCTTAGCTCAGAACTCAGAACGGGCCAGTCACTGGGAGAGCGGGGAGGAAAGTTCTAGGCGGAGGGAGGAGCAAGAGCGCAGGCCCGGGTGGGAATGGCGGTGGAAGGACGGAGCCGCAGGAGCGAGGAGAGTAGTGGAGGAGCCGGGCACAGGCGGGGGAGCAGGGGTCCCGGGAAGGGGCAGTGCAGAGGCGCCTGGAGCGGGGATGAGGAGCCCCGCGGGGAAGGCGCCCGTGGGCCCTGGGTGGGGAGTAGCGAGGGGGCCTCCCCGCTCTTGGAGCTGGGTTCGGAGAGCACTGTTCTTAGTGTCTCGGTCAGTGGGAGGGAAGGCCAAGGGCTCGACCTTGGCTTGCATGAGGTCGGCCCAGATTGCAACGGGGAGGGGCCTTGGGCCACTTCATTGGGGGCGGAGCTGGCCAGTTTCAGCCAATCAGATCAGCACACTCACCTTCCTTGGTGTCTAATAGCTTCTACCCTTGAGAGGTGCTAGTCTGTGCCCCAGGCTCTCTGCCACCCCTGCTAGATAGATGCTGCCGGACGCGTCCCCTGCCCAGGAAGATAGTCACAGACATAGAAAATAGGATGTGACAAGTGTAGCAGGAAATGTCTGGACAAGGGAAGGGTCATTTGAATTGACTTTTGAGGCATGAAGAGGAGCTCGGTGGGGAGAAATTACCACCAAAATGGCAAAAAATGTTGCTGTGTCGCTGATGCCTAGCACAGCGCTGTCCGGTCTTTGGCAGAACACACCGGAGCTCCCCACCTCAGGACTGTTCTGGTCACTGCCGTTATGATTTTTGTGCTGCCTGCTTTCTAGCATTACTTACCGAATGTTTTTCTTCACGTTGTCTTACTTTTCCGCTTAAATCAATTTATTTCAAAAGGAAATATTTGCTGTTATCACTAGAACTAAAAAAACAAAGACCTTATGCCACCAATCAATGTGAACCAGAAACAATAATTACAATGGAAACAAAACCATGTTATTAAAGCCTGCCTGTTACAAGAATAAAAAGATACACCACAGACTGGGAGAAAACCTTTGCAAACCATATTTTTGACAAAGGGCTGACTAATATCAGGAATGTATAAAGGACTGTCCAAACCCATTAATAACAATCCATTTTTTATTTTTTGTTGTTTTGCAGTTCTGAACCCAGGGCCTTCACAGTGAGTTACATTCCCAGCCCTTTTTTTATTTTTTATTTTGAAACATTGTCTCTTTAAGTCACTAAGTTGCCCCAGCTGGGCTTGAATTTAGAAACCTCCTGCCTCAGCCTCCCAGTGTGCTGGGATCAATCACAGGTAAGTGCCACCACATCAGCTGAAGCCAGGTCCTTTGACAGGCAAAAAGATTTAACAGCCACTACACTAAAATAATAATAATAATAATAATAATAATCAGATAAAAAGATTATCAATATCATTAATCAATAGGAAAACGCAAATTAAAACCACAGTGAGATACCATTATCCACCTATATGATCTGTGTTTTGAGCCAGTGTCTCACTAAGTTGCCTAGGCTGGCCTTGAACTCCCAATTCTCCTGCCTCAGCCTCCCCAGTGCTGGGATTACAAGTGTGAATCACCACACCCGGCTTTACACACCTATTTCCTCCGGTGCCGGAGGAAACTGATACACACTGCCCAGGGGGCTGAGAGCTGCTGCTAGGAGAAAACCTTCTACAATGCAGCAGTTTGCAAATATTTCCGATGCCTTCATTCATAATTGCAAAAAAACCTGGAAGCAGCCCAAATATCGCTCAGCCTGCCTGCCGCCGGGCAGACACACTGTGGCCCATCCATAGGTGGAGTACTAAGTGGTAATAAAAAAGAACCATCTAGCGGCACACACAGCTGGGCGTGCCTATCTCAAAAGCGTCATGGGAAAGGGGGAGCCAGGCTCAACCCACTGGGACCCACAGGTGTCACCCTGGAAAAGCAAATTTATAGCAAGGGAAAGCGATCAGAAAGACTAGCAGTGGGAAAGCCATGGCGATGAGGGGACTCTGGGGGCTGGGGGGGCACAGCCTGTCTCCTGCATGTCAGTGACGGCCCTGCACCCATCCCATAGGCCTTGTGCGGAGCGCTGTAAGTCGGCGACACCTCCAGGAGGACTGACCTGGGGGCTCTTTTTCACAAGCGGAGTTTACCCATTGTCCAGATGGCCTGTCGACTTGCACACGAATGACTCCTGCTGTGACCCGGTCTGATCATGTGCTATGTACGGGGACCCCAGAGTAAATCTGTGTACCACCCATGGTGCCCAGGACCAAAGAAGGAGCACACCCGGGGGTCGGGGACGGCAGGCTGAGGCCTCGGCCGGGGTCAGGGTATAGTACAGGACAGGCTCGGCTCCAGGCGCAGCGGAGCCTGCCTGAGCTGGGGCTGTCCGGGAGCGGTGGAGCCAGTGCCCTTTGCAGCAGTGTCCTCTGTCACCCTGCACAAGTCTGGGACACCATCTGCCTTCGACTGCGGGGTCACCCTTCCAAGTCTGCACGGGGGTGGCTCCACGTCCTGTCTCCCACCCCGGCCACCTGACAAACTCCTGAACTCACCTCGGATGCCTCTTCCTCTTCACCCTGCTTCATGAGAGCCTCCTTGGAAATGGTTGCCTTCCATTCTCTGTCCGGCTATTTCCTCTGCCTGCAGTCTCTCCTTCCTCTCCCCCCGTGGGCCAGGCAGAAACTTCTGTGCGCAAGGGACAGAAAACCAGGCCAAATTCTTTCCCACCAAAAACAGGAAACTTAGTGGCTTATGAAACTAAAGAGGCCAAGAGTGTGTGATCTCAGGTCTGGCTGGATCCAGGAGTTCAGACCCTGTCCAGCTCTGAGCGGGTCTCTCAGGCAGCTTTTCCCTTGCTCACTGTCAATCTGATGGAAAATTTCATCTCCTTGTCAAACACGTGGCAGCACCAAAGCCCCAGGAGAGAATCTCATTGAGCAAGCTTAGTCACATGACCATCCCTGGACCAATCACTGCAGCAGAACCTGCGCACCCTTGAAGACAGAAGGCCTGGGGCATCCCTCAAACCTCCTGGACTGCGATGGGGAACAGGAAGTTCTCCAGTAGGAAATTCCACAATGTCCCCTTCCACCGGCAAACTTGCTCACATCTCATGTCATGTGACACAGGCCGAGCCCTTTCCCTTCTGGGCCTCAAGCTCCTCCTCTGCAAAATGGGCTGGAGGCTGTTTAAATTCCAGCGTTCCAGAATTCCCGGATAGCTTCCAAAGCTGGAAGCTGCTCTTAAATCCCAGGAACATTCCGGTACTTCTGGGGACAGAAGTGGAGAGTCAGCCAGAGCCGTTCCCAGTCCCGGCCTGGGAACATGCGTAGAACATGACAATTGGGTCCCTTTGGCCGAAATTCCACTCCCGTGGGGGCCTTGCCAAGGAAAACAAGCCCAAGGACCGGGCACTAAAGGTGAGTGTACTTGATGCGTTTTAAGATGACAAATTATTTACACAGGTGTGGGAGCCGACCCCTCGCGCCCTGCTTTCTTTTCTTCTTCCTCCCCTTTCCAAATTCTTTCCCCCAAGGGTGCTGACAGATGTGCGGGGGTGGGGATGGCTCTGGAGATCTGCCCAGAGCGAGCCCACAAACCCAAGGCGAAGGAGGGTGCAGCAGCGGGCACGAGGCTGTCTGCACCCCAGGCCTCTGGACGCCCCCTGTACCTGCTGCCTGGGACCCCCGAGAGCCCCTCATCTGCAGATTTCCCACTAACCGAGTCCTCCAAGAAACCCATGTCCTGTCCCTGCTTTGTCCCCAAGGGGGGACGAGGGAACCAGAGAGGTGAAAGGCAGCACCCAACTGACCTGGAGCTGGCAAGGAAGGAAGCGGATGAAGCAACTGTTTCTTAAGCATCTACTGTATACCAGACACCAGGCTGAACTCTGGGAAAACACTGTCAATCGGACAGGTAAAAGGCTCTGCCTATGGGGCCGAGAACAACAAAGAAGAGTGAGATACTCCATCCCTCCACCAGGAAGAAAGAACTGGGGGATGCTCTAGGCTGAGGAGGTGACAGTTAAGCCCAGAAAGATGCAAAGGTACCAGCCCTGGGAAGACTGGGAAGCAAGACATTCTAGGCAGCTGGCACTGCACATACAAAGGCCCTGAGGTAGGAAGGGGCTTGGTGAGTTTAAGGAACAGTGAGGAGGCCAGCATGGCCAAGCAAGGAGAGGGCAAGGAGCTGCATCATGGGCAGGTCCTGTGCTTTATGCTCAGGACAAAATTACAAGGGGCAGATCAGCCCCACATTACCAAGGAGGAAACTGAGGCCCAGAGAAGGTCAGCAAATTGTCTCAGGATGTCAACACTTTCATCTGCTTAGAACTCCTTCCCCTGCACCCCTGGGAGGCAGGAGAGGGGAACAGGGCCCCAGGGCCTTCCAGGACCTGTCCCGAGCTCAGCCCCGGTGGAGGGTACTGGCCAGACACTGCTTCCTGTGGGAAGAAAGCAGAGGTTAGTTAGCTGCTGAGTCACGGGAAACAACAGGCTCCCAGGCCACAATGGGCTGTACCTCAGTTTACCTACCCTTAAAATGGGTTTAATGACATGTCTGCCTCAAATGCAGACTTCAGAGGGTGCAGTGAGGGTTAATTACTGCCTGGAAGCTGCAGGCCCTGATGAAAGGTGCAGGAAGTGTGTGCCATTAACCAGGCAGGTAATTACCCCCACAGGTGAGGGGGCAAGGGTCCCAGTCAGAGATGCCTCTGCTTCGGATTCAACCCCAAGCCAGCTCTTCTTCAGATTGGGGGGAGGAGGTACGGGATTAACACGCCTTGAACATCTCTCTGACCCCCAAACTGGCCTCAAGAACCCCAGCACTAGGTGAGAGCGGGTTTGGTGTGAGCATGCAGAAGCCACACAGGCCCAGGTTCAAATCCCCATTCCGATCCAAGCATGGCCATGCACACCTGCAATCCCAGCTCCTCCAGAGGCTGAGGCAGGAGGATCACAAGTTCAAGGCCAACCTGAGCAATTTAGTGAGACCCTATCTCAAAATTAAATTACGAACCTTGGCTCTGCCACCCCTCCGTGGTGGACCTGGGCCCCACTCCCCACCCTGGGGCCTCTGCTGCTCCATCTGTAGGATGGGGCCAAGGACCTGGCCTGTCCCGGATCTGGTGCCTGTGGCAGTTCTCGCCCACGTGTGTGGACACCCTTCTGACCACTTTGTCTCACCGCCCGCGGCCCTGTGAAGCCACGAGTGACACAACCAACCACACCGCCGGCTGCCTCAGGCTCTGCAACCTGCAGGAAAACGGTGAAGGACTTTTTCTATAGCAAAAAATAAACGATTTTTAGATCATCCTTGGGGATGCTGCTAATGCCTGGGGACCGCTCCGGAGCCACCGTGGCCCGGCAGCCTGGCCCTGCAGCTTCTGAGTTTTGATTCCCACTGTCCCCTACATATTTGCACACACACACACACATGCACAGGTGTGCACCAACCTCGTGGTCCAGGTGGGAACACAGAGCCTGCTCCCAATGGCCGCTTCCAGGAGTGGAGGTGGATCTGGAGGCCAGAGCCCCCTCCCCTTCCAGTCCCTCCAGCAGGTGGCACGTGCCCATCTGACAGGTGGACACACTGAGACTGGGGCACCCTGCAGACCCCATGCACCGCGAGCACCAGCGAGCACCGCGAGCACCCTGCCCCAGAGCACCATGCCCACACCCAGATGGTACCCAGAGCCCTCTGGCTCCCCCACCTTGGGGAAGGAGTCTGAGTCCAGAGTCCCTGCCGCAGCCTGGCCACAGGGGACCTGGCCCTCTGGGGGTCCGGGGAAAGGGGTGTTCCACCGTGAGCAGCAGCTCCCAGGCCTGGGGTTCCACATAGGAAGAGGCAGTTGCCCCACAGACTCCTGTTGGCAGCAAGAGGCCACATCCAGCGCCCTCAGAGGCACTTGGTGGGGCAGCTACTCCGCTGGGAGCCCATCCGAACCCAGGCGCCCAGGGGCCTCTCCTTTGTGTCCAGGCACCCCCGGGAGGGCACCCGGGCTCCCTCCGTCACCCCAGCCCCACACTCTGTGTCCTTCAGAGCCCTGATCACCCCCGAAAGGGATCTCAGATTCCCACATGCCTCAAGGAGAACGCAGGCTCCGTGCAAAATGTTTTGTTTTGTTCACTGCTGTGTCTCCGGGACCCAGTAGCATGCCTGGAACATGGTGCTCGATCAGTGTTTGCTGATGTAATGAAGATGTTTTTAAAAGACAAGAGGAGTTCTCGTCACATGGGCGGGAGTCCCGGGAGGGACAGCACTCGAGGACGGGCCGATCTCCCCAGGGTCTCACGTGTGACGTCAGCCCGACCTCAGCACCAGGCACTTCCCGTGCTGAGCTCCGCACACCATGGCTTTGTCCTCAGCCTGAGCCCAGGAGCTCGGTCCCAGGACTACCCCACTTTCCAGATGAGGGCACCGGGGCTTAGAGCTACAGTTAGGCACTGTTCCAGGTCACCAGCCGTTCGGCGGCAGCCCTGACTGATGCAGGGCCGCCTGATCCGGGACCTGCCCCAGAGCGCCAGAGCGTCGGGGCTTCTGGAAACCACGCCCTCCCCCCAGACTCCTGGCACAGCCCAGAGGGGTTGTGCGCCCTGCGCTGCACCCCCAAACCGGACAGCAGCCCAGAGGGACGCTCCCTGGCTGCCACAGGGCCCGTCGAGGGAGCCAGGCTTGGCGGCCATCCTGTGCGGGGACGCCAGGCAGCCGGGAGTTTCTCTCCCTGGACTTACTGTACATGATTCAGCGCCAGTTGTGAAATCTGGGAATCTTGCGGGCAAGGCCAGGCCTGGGGGATGGCTGTCTGGGAAAGGGAGGCTGGGAAGGGGTTAAGGGGGGTGAAGGGGAGGAGCTGGGGAGGCAGCCTGCCCCGGCCAGCCATGAGCGGGCACCATTAGCCTGGGGCCGGCTGCCTGCGGCCTGGCTCTGACATCACAGCTGCGTCAGCCCGGCCGGCCCAGCCCCCACTTCCTCCTCTCCCTGGGCAGCATCCCCGGCCCTGTCCGCCCTGCCCCGCTGTCCTCTCCCTGGGAATGGCAGCTCCGGTTTCCATGCCGGGAGGGAGGGAGGTGGACGGGGAGGGAGACACAACCATTACTTTGCATACAGGAGGCGCTTAATAGATAGTAGTGGGGATGAGTTTGAGCCAAAACAATCCCATGAGCAAGGCAGGCAGAGAGGGAGCTGTCACAGTCAGAGAAGAGACGGAGGCCTGAGCAGGGAAGGAAGGTTACCCGGCAGCATGGTCACAATTTCCTAACATGTTCATAACACTCCTATCGCTCGTCCTCGACACTTCATTAGAAGGACATATGCTCCCACTGGGCGTGAATTTGCACACCTGTAATCCCAGCACTCAGGAGGCTGAGGCAGGGGAATCGCTGAGAGTTGGAGGCCAACCTGGACTACAGAGAGATCCTGTCTCAAAAAAACAAATAAAACCAAAAAATACACATGCTCTGGCCACAGCGACTATCCTGAGGCCTGGAATTTTCTCCCTCATCTCATTAATTTACTAAGTTATATTAAACCAAAAGGGCATTTGTTTGACTAGAAAAACGCAAAGATGCATTGCACTATTGATAGATCACTGATGACCTGATGGTTGAAATGCAAAATCAGGGTGCGCTAGGCAGAGCCCAGACAGCCTGCTGACCGCATTAGACTTGCATCACCCTGACTTCTGCCAAGACAGCCATGGGACCGCCCCACCTCACGGGTGAGGAAGCTGAGGCACGGGCTGGCCTGACACATCTGGCCAAGACAGGCAGCCACAGTCCCTGAAGGCAAGGGGACTGCTTGGAGGTCCTCACCTGGTGACTTTTCGGAGCATAAAAGCCAAGGCCCCGAGATGGCATGTGATCTACCCGAGCTCACACAGCAGGCTGCGGAGGCCACAGGCCCAGTGTCATGTCACCCCTGGACCTGCTACCAGGTAGCGAGCCCACTGCAGGGAGCAGTGTCCCGGCCCGCCTGTCCCCCTTTCCTAACTCTAGCTCAGGTGCACCTGGGCCGTGCAGGAGCTAGGGGCGAGGTTCTGGCGAAAGGAGCAGCACCGGCAAGGACAGCCACATGCAGCGGGCACAGGAAGAAGGCAGAGCTGGGCGGGGGCTCAGGCTAACCAGCGCCCTGAATGCCGCGCTAAGGAGCTTGGGACTTGTCTGGGGGTGATGGGGAGCCATGAAAGCTTTACAGCAGGGGAGGAACAAGGTCACCAAACCAGGGCTGACGGCTCCAGCCGCCTCCTCTCTACCCTCCCTGCGCCTGGCCTGGCCTCTCCCAGCCTAGCTGCACTCACGGCCAGAGGAGCCCAAGAAAACCTAGTCAGACCATGTCCCTCCTCTGCTCAGAACGCTCCACGGCCCCCACTGCCCATGGAACAAAAGCCAAATCCTTCTAACAGCACACGAGGGCCTGCACCCTCATCTCCACATCCCTGCTTCCCTCTCCCTTGCTCACTCTGCCTCTGTCACACCAGCTTCTTCAGATGCACAACAAACAAGCCTTCGGCACACCTGCTGCAGGGCCTTTGCACTTGCTGTTCACTCCCCGGGACACTTGCTCCTACCACGGCTCTATCCCCCACCTCCTAGCATCGTGGCTCAGATGTCACCTGCTTGCTGGGCTGTCCCCTGCCCATTTCAACCCCCTCCCCCTTTTCTGCCTTATTTCTCTGCATAGTGCCAACCCATGTCATATGAAGCATATTTATCTTGTTTATTGACTGCTTGCTCTACGAAAGTGTGAAGTTTTTTATTCATTTATTTAATTTTTAGTCTTTTTGAGACAAGGTCTCACTATGTAGTTCAGGCTGGCCTTGAGCTCACCTATGTAGCCTAGGCTGGTCTAGAACTCACAACGATCCTCCTGCCTCAGCCTCCTGAGTGCTGAGATTACAGGGGTGCGCCACCATGCCCAGCCTGAAAGTGTGAACTTCGTGGGGCAGAGACTTCTGACCATCCAATACCTGCTGTGTCCCCAGCACTGACTCATAGGAAATACTTAATAAATATCTGTTCAATAAATGGATTTCCTTTTCCTCAGAAAATTTGGTGAAGGCTTGTCTGGGACCGGGCTCGTTATGACCTTTCCTCTGAGGTCCGGATAGAGAAGTGACTTGCCCGGGGTCACCAGCTCCCAAATGAGAAGTCAGTCTGGCTCCGGAAGCTGGGATTTTTGTCTCTGATCCAGCCTGCACTTCTGTGGTAAGGCATCACGTGCACCCCTTACAGGGATCTGCAGGAGGCTGCCTGCTGGGGCCTCTCCTTAAGCTAGAGCTCAGAGAGGTTAGTTGCCCGGCCCTGGGCACACAGCCTCTCCAGGTAAGATCACAGGTCTTCCTGTCTCTGTTTTTCAGGTTGTTCTGTCCATGCTCCCCAGCCCCCAACTCCCCTCCCACCTCAGCCAGGACCATTGCCCGGGGACTCAGGGCCCTCTGCTTTCGGCCTTGACATTCCCCACGTCTGGCCGGCCCCGCCCCCGGCCAGCTGGGCCGCAGCACAGCCTGGCCCGACACCCCCAGCATGCCTTGGGGATGAGACTCGGCGTGTGACGGGTCCAGCTGACACGTCCTGAGCAGATGTACATCTGCCGCCCACGGGTGCTGCGCTCACCCCAGCCAAGCCTCAGCCCCAGGGCGTGGTGTGGGGCCTTGGGGGCAGAGAGGCCACCAGTGTCCCTGAGGCCCAAGGGGGACAGTCTCCGTCCAGGTCAGGGCTGGTCACAGAGGGGCACCGGCGCAGGTGTACAAGAAGCGTGGGAAGCCGCAGACAGCAGCTGCCACTTGGCTTTGTTTTGAGGGGTGAAAAGGATGGTGGGGGCCTGGACGCACGGCTCAGGGAAAGGGCAGCCAGGGCGCCTGGCTGCTTCATCTCCCAGAGGGAGCCGGGCAAGTTTCAGTGTGTACTCCATGCGTTTGAAACGCTCCTGCGTGGCCGGAGCAGAGCCCCGGGGGCGTGGCCAGGGCCTGCAGTTTGCCCCTCGGTGGGCCAGCAGGGAGTAAATCCGCCCTGTCCTGAGTGGGGGCTGGAGGCTGGGGCAGCTGGGGCAGCGGCCGGTGCTCTGAGGGACAGTGGTGAAGTGGCTGTCATCTGGTCCCCTCCTGCACCCAGCGGGATGAGCCTCCTCCGCACGCCAGCTCCAGCTGGACAGAGGATAGAAGGGGCCCAGGCGGGGACCGGGGCCTCGGGTCCCACGTGGGACACAACTGCGGAGGTGCTGCCCTGCGTCCTCTCTCCAGCCCCTGGGCCAGGTGTCGCTGTGCTCCGAGCCACGAGCCACGTGTTTCACCAGCACCACTTAGAGCCTCTACCGCACCCCCGGGACCAGTTTTCAGGTGAGAAACCTACATCCTGGGGAAGTGCGACCAGAGCCCTGCAGAGCCCCACAGGACAAGACTCAACCCTCGGCCAGCCTTCTCCCGGGCTCCAGGGCCATCGCCGGGTCCCCGCAGCAGACAGGCTCCTTGCAGGGTTTGCTGAGTGAGTATTTCTCTTGCTTCCTGGGATCTGTTTTCCACAATGGCCCCCATCCAGGGGCCTGTCTCAGCCTTTGGCCATGGGCCCACATGCTTCCCAGATGCCTCCTCCTGGCTCCCAGGCATCCTGCAAAACAGTGCCATTAAAGTGAACTCAGCACCTTCCCCCAAGCCACTCCTTTGCCTCAGTTTCCCCTCTGGAAACTGAGTGATCCATCACTAGCCCAGACATTGTCCTCACTGCTTCAACCCACTTGGTTACCAAGACCTGGGGGTCACCAGATCCCGCTGCCTCTGGCCCCCCTGAGGCTGCCATCGCCTGCTGCGGGGGGGGGGTCCCCGCCTTGGCGCAGCCACCTGGTGACACTATTTCTTGCAGCTGTCAGGAGCTCCCCCTCACCTTCCCAGGGAAGGCCCAGTGCCCCACACCGCACACCTCTCTCTCCAGGGCACGACGCCCTTTGTCACCTCTGAGCCTCTGCAGACCGCTGCTTCCATCTGGAGAGCTCTCCTCCCACCAGCTCTGCCTGTTTCCCATCTGTGGTCCTCAGGACTCCACCTTGGGCGCGTGGGTTTCCTAAACCCTCCCTGAACCCCTACATCTGCGTTAGGCACACCCTGAGGTCCTACAGCCCCTCCCCAGCCATTACATATTAGAAACCAGATTCAAAATGAAATCTGCCCCACTGCAAGCTCCACACACTGCCGCTTCCTTCCCCCCGGTCTTTTCCCAGGCAGCACAGGAGCTGCGGAAACGCTGTGAGTGCACCCGTGCCCGTCCTCTGGGAAGCCCCTGGCCCCCTCAGCCACCTTCACCCACTGGGCCTGGGCGCCTCCCCAAGGTCAGGGCTCAAGTGCTGAAAGGAAACTGAACACACCGACAGGGACGCCTCACCCAGGGTCTGCAGGGGGCTCCTCGGCTCCATGACCACCACCCCCATAACGCTGGTGACAGCATCTTGTGTCCGTGCAGTTTCTTGAGAGATGATTCATAGCTTTCACGAAACTTCTAAATTCCAAAATCTTGATATAACTGCTGCATCCAGAGGGGTACAGAGAACTTCCCGCCATCCTGACCTCCATTCACCACATGGCATGCATTCAGTCACCCATCTACCCCCTTATCTACCCGTACACTCATCCGTCCATCCTCTCACTCACCCACCCGCTCATCTACCCACTCACCCATCTGTTCATTCATTCACCATCCATTCTCTCATCCACCCACTGTCCCACTCCCGCACCCCCACCCACCCATCCATCCATCCATCCACCTCCCCATGCACCCATGCACCCATCCATCCATCCATCCATCAACCTACTCATCCACCCACTCACCCATCCATCCATCCATCCATCCATCAACCTACTCATCCACCCATCCACCCATCCATCCACCCCATCCATCCACCCCATCCACCCACCCCATCCATCCACCCACCCACGCCACCCATGCATCCATCCATCCATCCATCCATCAACCTTCTCATCCATCCACCCATCCATCCATCCATCCACCCCATCCATCCACCCCATCCACCCACCCCATCCATCCACCCACCCATGCCACCCATGCATCCATCCATCCATCCATCCATCAACCTTCTCATCTATCCACCCATCCATCCATCCATCCATCCATCCATCCATCCATCCATCCATCAACCTACTCATCCATCCATCCATCCATCCATCCATCCATCCATCCATCCATCAACCTACTCATCCACCCATCCACCCATCCATCCACCCACCCACGCCACCCATGCATCCATCCATCCATCCATCCATCAACCTTCTCATCCATCCACCCATCCATCCATCCATCCATCCATCAACCTACTCATCCACCCACTCACCCATCCATCCATCCATCCATCAACCTACTCATCCACCCATCCACCCATCCATCCACCCATCCACCCCATCCACCCACCCACACCACCCATGCATCCATCCATCCATCCACCTCCTCATGCACCCATCCACCCATCCATCCACCCATCCATCCACCCATCCGTCCACCCATCTACCCACACCACCCATGCATCCATCCATCCATCCACCCACTTATCCATCCACCCACCCATCCATCCATCCAGTGTCTCATCTACCCATTCACCCATTTGGATGGGCGAATCCATCCATCTGTTCACTTACCTCTTCACTCCTGACATCACCAGTCTATTCATTTATTTATCCATTTATGTGTCTATTCCTCTAGCTATATATTAATTCATCCTTTAGTTCACTTATTAATTTATTTACTTGGTTATATGCTTATGTATTCATCCATCAGTAATTCACAGTACTTAACCATGAAGTCATCCGCATCATCCTTTCACAATTCATCATCTATCATTCATTTTCTTGAGCCATCTACCTCCCATCCAGCTGTTCACCCATTTATCCACTATTTTCTTTATTCACCCATTCATTAATTCAGTTGTTCATTTCATTCATCGATTCATTTATTCTTTCATTTCTCTTTCTCTTCATTTCACCCCTCCACAAGCAGTTCACATCCACCCATGTACACAGTCATTTAATGCACCCATTTGGCCACCCACCCATCCATCAAACCGTCACGATATTCTCACACCAAACCCTCCACCCGCCCATTCTGGTCCTTGTACCAGAATGCAGGGATGAATCACAGCTGGCCCCGCCCTGGAGAAGCTCACAGGCAGCGATGGGAACAGATAGTTACAACCCAACGTGGAAAACATTACAAGGTCAGAGGGAGTTCCAGGCAGGTACTTTCCCAGAAGGAGACGTGGGTCCACCTGGCGACTTAGCAAAGGCTCTTTGGGGAAGTGGCACCCAAACCGGACTCACAAGGGCAGGGAGAGTGCGCACGGCCCCTTACATATCCTAGCGGGTGGCTCCCAGATCCCATGCCCCAAGACGGGACGTCACAGGCACGAAAGGCGGAGAAGACCTGCAGCAGACAATGGCTGTTATGCCCGCGGCTCGCAGACTCACCGGAGTGTGGATCCTCTTCCTCCGTGACTCCTCCGTGAACATCCCCAAGACTGTCCCCAGATGCCACTTGGTGGACACTGGCCCAGATCACACTCCCTGTTCCCACAAATGAGAAAACGAAGCTCCACAAGATGGTCTCTACCCGCCCCTAGTTTTTTCCTGTGTGACCTGAGACGGGATGTAACGCGTGTGTCTGGGACCCGATTCTTTCTCCCTGGAGCTGAGCACCGTGCATGGCGCATAGCAGGTGCTCAATAAATATCAAAAGCCTCCTTGTTGCAGGAGTCACTCCAGAATGGGCCCTCCCTGCTCCCTGGCGACCCCTGTGTGACCTCAGCCACCTGCACATCTCCCAG